CTTGTTTGGGCATTTTTATTTCCTGCATGCCTCTTTCGTTTGGGCATGTGGCCCCCTTTGATGCAAGCTTCGTTTGGGCATTTAGACCTCCTGCATGCTTCTTTCGTTTGGGCGTGTGGCTTCCTTCAATACAAGTTTCGGTTACACCCTTCATTTGGGCATGTGGATCCCTTCACGCAAGCTTTAGTTTGAGTAAAAACCTCTTGCATGTTTGCTTGAAGTCACAAAGCAATGGCCTCCTGTAATTCTCCTTCGACTCAGAAGCCATTGGTTTTCCATGTTTTCCTTTGACACCATAAAGCCAGGATTTCCTTCATGCCAGCAGGCATAAGGCAGGGACCTCCTGCATGCACCCTTTTGTTTGGCCATGTGACCTTTGGCAGGAAAGTCTTCGTTTGGACAAGAGCCGCCTTCACACAAAGCTTCGATTGGAGTTTTGGTTCCCCTCGAATCAACATACTTCGAATCCATATCTGAACCCTTCGAAGCAAGCTTGTTTGAAGAACTTTGAGAAAATCTCATAGCCTTATCCTCCAAATCTCACTTATCAGGCTATGTTGCTTCCAAATCTTTACATAATTAGAGGCTTGCACAAAGGTTCCAAGCTTTGTCTACTGGATAATACCATTCTTGGATGAAATGGCAAAAAGCTACGTACTTTTTTTTCATAAAGAGTATTTTAATCATAAAGTTAGCTTCCAATCTGATTTTTGTCTGAACACAAGCAATGACAAAAGCATAAGTCCAATCTCTTGTACCCACCAAACAACAGGGCCCCACTTGTACTTGAAAATTATTTCTTTTTCGTTTTTCATATTTTGTTATTTTGCAAAGCTGACCACTTCAAACACCTTCAACCTTTTCTCTATAAATAGAGAAACAATTGGCAAGCTGAGGGGGGACTTTAGGTGGTGGAACAAATCTTCAAAAAATCATCAAACTCTCAAGAACTCTTAAACTCTTACGATTCTCAAACACTAAAGACAAACCCAAAATCCAGAAGAAACACAACACCTGTTTCCTTGGCCCTTCGAATCTAAAGAAACACAACACTTGTTTCTTTTTCTCTTTCAAATCTGGAGCAATCCCCACACTTTGTTTTCTTTCGAATCCAGTATAAAGAACACTACACTTGTTCTTCTCCTTTGAATCCAGAAACAACATACACCGCCCTCATATCTCCTGACCTTTGAATCCAGTCAAAGAAACACCACACCTGTTTCTTTCCTTCGAATCCAGGAGCATCTAGGCAGCCACTCAAGGTTCAACACACACGTTCCAACTTCAAGCAAGGTAAGTTTTCTCTTAACTTTGAACCTTTCGTTTCTAGCATAACATGTAAATAGTCTCTCCTTTCGTTTTAAACATGTACGTAACATTTGTTTCATTTTCGTTTCCACCCATTTAGTTTGTTTTCATTGCTAACCCTTTTGGTTTTGTTACTTGGTTTATCAAATGCTTTTAAGAACTAACCTGGCCATGAGACAATACTAGCATGGCCTCAGGCCATGTTGCTATTTAAGGCCCAAACGAAAGAAAACAGGAGGGAGGAAGTATGAATCGAAGCTTTAGGCTTCCCCCTGGTTGCTTCACAGTTGCAAGCAGAACAAAGAGTGTGGCCTTAGGCTTCATCACACACTGACTTCCATGCCATTCGAAGGAGCAAAAAGGGAGAAATAAAAGTTGTCCACACTGACTGCCAAGCCCAATCGAAGAAGGCAGCAAGGAGCTTGGGGGTGAAGTGTGCACCTCATGCTGATTCCAAGCCCCAACTGAAGGAAGCAAAAAGGCATAATCGAAGGCTGCATCTCATGCTTCGTGCTAAGCCCAAATCGAAGGGAGTCAGAGAAGCAGAATCGAAGGGTTTTGCTGCCCAAATCGAAGCACTCATTTTTTCTCCTTTTATTTTGTTTTGTCTTTACATTTTCTTGCTATTTAATATGGTTGTAATAGTGTGGGATTTATTTTCTGCATTTTTATTGCTTTTGTACAAATGTTAGTAATTAGGATGTATGGCAAGATAAAACCAACAAGTAGACAATCCAAAAATCAAAGACAAAAATGCATGCAATCAAACACACTTTGCACACATGCACCTCTAGGATAATCTCACTTGTTGCCTCGGAAAAATAGTCATGTCCCTCGAATATGGGCGTTTTAGCAAAGACCCCTGATAAAAGATCGTAGTCCTTCGATGACCCTCGATGTTGCCTTCGGTAAGCGATCTAGTCCCTAAACAAAAATTGCTAAAACGTCTCATATGTTGCCTTCTATGACTATACAAACGACCCACGCCCGTCCCTTCACATTCAACGACGGGGCTTCTTACCAAATCAATAGTAAGATAGCAACATCTAAAGGAGGAGGAAAAGAACATAGACCTTTTGAGTAGGTAGGATTATCATAGTTGCTCGCTTGCTCATAACAAAAAAACATTTTATACACCAACACTCTCATTTGAAACATTTTCAAAAGACAAAGCTCTTTGTACGCATTCTTATAGAGACAAGAATCATTACAAAGACACTTTTCAAAATCACTTTCAAAAACATTTCACAAACACCTCTTTGAACTATTTTCAAAACCAACACTTTGTACGCGTTCTTATAGAAACGAGAATCATTACAAAGACGTTTTCAAAATACTTTCAAAACCTACACCACAAGCACATTTTCAAACAAAAGCAAGTGATCTAACAAGCAACTAAGAGCCCATAGATAACTATGAATGAAAATGGTGCTAACTCCTTCCCTTTTTATAACCTACCCCCCGAACTCAAGAAAAACATCTTAAAGGTATTTCATGTTCTTTTCACCCTTTTCTTATTGGATATTATGGAATGTGATTTTAACTTCAAAGTCGTGGGTGTGTTTTAGTGTTGAACAATGTTCATTCTGTAATAATTTTTTTTTCTCGTCAGGATGTCCAACTAACTTAGAGTTGAATTTATGATTATGTACAATGCACAACATATTAAATGTCAAAAAAAAATTGATGTGGGATATTCGTGCAACTTAAAACGACATTCATATTTTCTTGTTTCAGTGTCATCATATTTAACTTCCAGATATCTTCTTTATATTTACCATTTCTTTTACATCTCATTGTAGAAAATGTCAATCTTCTATCAAAACCAGAATCAAATTTTACTATTATAATCCAAAACCTAATTTAGAAGCTTCCATAGAGACTCATTTAAATATATGGTCATGTAACGTAAAAAATTGTTGTATTAAATTTTTTTTAACATCAATGTATACAACATTCAATTGGGGGAACTCTTGACACATTATCCTCTAATGCATTAGTATGGATGGCAACATCATCATGCGTTATATTTACAACCATTTAAATATCCAAAAGTCAAGCAACCAATTCACATGTCCAAAAGTTAACATCTCAAGGAAGTTTAAAAGTTATAATATATTTTTGAAATATAACTTTTTGAAAATATTATAATATTTACAATAATACATATTTATATTAAAATTAGTGTTTCAATTTAAAATAAATAACTATAAATTTTTTATAATATTTTAAAAAACTATTTTATAATATATATATATATATATATATATATATATATATATATATATATATATATATATATATATATATATATATATATATATATATATATATATATATATATATATATATATATATATATATATATATATATATATATATATATATATATATATATATATATATATATATATATATATTTTAAATCTATTTTTTTAAAACAGAAACAAATCAATTTTAGTTTGTCCAACTCAAATTGAATGGCTGGGTGATTTTGAAAAAGAATTGAAAGAATCCAACTAAAGACAAAGTTTAAAATACAATTGATAAACGTTTGCAAGAATAATGATTTGACAATTTTTTTCAACATACTCTTAAGTCTTTTTAAAAGTCTTTCACAAAATTTATGTAATATCTTTTTAATTCGGATATATATATATTCGAGCTCATATTTTTTTATAAAATAATTAATTTCAGATATTTATATTCGAAAATATTTTATTTTTTTATAAAAAAATATATTTTTGAATATACATATTCAAATAAACTTTATTTTTTTACGAAATGAAGTGTTTTCAAAAAAAAAAAATACATTTGACACAACCAATTGATATGATATTGAGTCTAAAAAACATAAATTCTAAAGAAACAAATTCTTGAATTCACTACTCCCTATTTCTCTCGCCCCAAATTGATTAAAAAATTATTGAAAACAAAAAAGAAAAAATTAAATGGAGAGATTCAATAAAAGACTATTTGAAAAGATTCATCATTAAATCAAATACTAATTTTCAAATATTTTTTTTTAATTACTAAAAAAAACACATAGAATTTTTCAAATATACATTTCAAAGAATATTTTTAGGTTTTTAGAAATTTCCTTCCATAAGAGTACTAAAAAAATTCTCTAATGACTTTCAACTTAAACCGGGTCAAACGCATAAATTTGACCCAAATTATGACATGCATAACTCTGCTATTCTTAAAAAGACTTAGGTCCTATTTGAAATTGTTTATTTGAGCTTATCTTTTTTTTTTTTGTTACTACATATTTAAGCTTATCCACAAATATGAGTTGTGACATTTTTTAAAGACCTTATCAAGATAGCTTGTGACATTTCTCATAAATTTTTCTTTAAACTATTTTTATAACTTCGAGATTATTTTATAAAAACAATTTATAGCATATATAAAAACCATATAAATTTATTTTATTTTTGTTATAAAAATTTATTCATAAACACTTATAATCTATTTAGAACAAGTATGTTACTGGTTTAGAACAAAATAAATTAAAACATATGAATTCTAATTTATAGATGCGTGTGTATAATATGTTGCAAGTAAATCAGGACATCGACACGAATTAACAGAGTGAACATACAAAGTTACAATTATTTCATTTTCTGATGCAAAATGCTAGAAATACATTGTTGTTTCAAAACATCAAGATAAATTGTGCAAAACATACATTATGCCTTCTTCTTCTTGGATTTGAGCATCACGAACCCAATAAATATGCATAATAGGCAAAGAAGAGCCACACAAGCAGAAACTGGTATTAATATGGCATATTCTTGAGGCAAGAAATACTTGTGCACGAAATGATCACCGTCTACAAATGGCTGAAAGAGCACAAAGTCGATAAACTTATCAGGAAGTTAAAATCAGGAACCCATAATTCATTTAAAGTACTAGACAAGTTACTAACCAGGATGATAACCCAGAAAGTATAATAAGTGAAAATTGATAAGCTTATAATGGACAATAGGAATCCAACTGCTCTGTCTGCCAATTCCATTTTAAATCCTTTTATTTTTGCTTCCTATTGACAACAAAACAAACGTTATAAGAAACGAGTTCAGCTGAACCAAACGGAAATGATTTTTTGAATTGTTGAAACAGTTTAAAATTCTCAAACCGAACTGATTTAACAACTGGTCTCTGAACAGGTTAAAACGGTTCAAAAACTGTTTGATTATTTGGTTCTTATTCAATCAGCAATGAATGTATCACAACTGTCATCAAAATAAGCTTCAGTTCAGTAATAAAGCTAACAAAAAACTCTAAAATACTTGGAAAAAGGCAGTACTTAAAAGTTAAATGAGCATAATATTAATTCAGTCATCTAATGATATTGGTAATCAATTCCATCAGATAGATTATGAAAATGGAACAAATTAGGCTATTAGAGAAAGAAGAGGTGATGCATACAATAAATTCGAAGCAGAGCTAATTGAAATGGGGTTTATCATAACAATCAATAAACTTATCTATTTGTACCAGATACCAATTTTGAAATTTTGTTTGTGGCAGTGAGCATGGTGAGTAACAAAACCCTAATTTACACTAAAATCATATTTGATAAACAGATTTCAATATAAAATATTATAAAAAATAAACATTAGCATACAATCGCGGAATCGCAGATCGCGATGGAATCGCAATCTCATGCAAATTACAGGAAAGGGGGAGGAAATCCGAGAAAAGTAATAAGTTGCGAAAATATGGACGGAATTTCTTACAGTTAGTGGCGGTCGACGACCAACTCCGCCTGTTTTTCCGCCGGTTATTAGTTTTTACGATTTGCTTGAGTTCAGTGCTGGGACAAAGTAGTAATTTTGCTGTTTTGATGATTGTTGAGGCTTGAATTCTTGATGGTGGGCTCTGTAAAAGAAAGTATATTGGGCCTTGGTTTAGAAGTTAAGGAATTTCTTAGAGCATTTTACTTGCCACCCCCAAATTAATAACTGACATCCAATTTTTATAATTTCAAAACTTCCTTATTACTATTTACCTCTATAAAAATTACATTTTGTTAAAATTCATTCACTATTGATAAAGGGTGAAAATTAAAAGTTTGGGTATCCATAGCGAAATTTTCGATATTAAATTAGGTGTTTTATCGAAATTGTTTACGTTTTCAAAATTTTTGATGGCATTTACCTGAAATTTTGAAATTTTCGGTGAATATCAAAAACCTAAAAATATCTATCAGAAAATTTTAAAATTTCCGGGACGAAACATAATTTAACGGATATTTCAAATTTCTGGGAATACCTAAAATTTTGCATAAACCTGAAATTTCAGGTATGGCTGCAGATGAAATTCTTTATTTGTGTGGTTCAGAGCCGACAACTTCTTCTACGGATTCATGTACATATTTTATAGAGTTCTTCATCATATTTATCGTATATTTCCTATTTGAACTAATGTAATTTTAATTTTTTTCCCGTCATTTATGAAATTGATAGTTTAATAATTGCATGTTGTAATTAATAAATTTCTAACTCCTGATCTGAAGTTTTAGCATTAGCACAGTCTAGTGGTAAACATCATGGTATTATTGTTGTAACTATCATTTCGATTTTGCTAATGGAATGCGAGGGAGGAAGGATAAATTAATTATGGGTTCTGAGAGAGGAGGAAATTACAAAAGAAAAAATGCATCTGAAAGCATTAATTCCTCTGATGAAATTTATACTATGAAGGTTAAATGTTCGTTTAAGTTTAAATCTATTCCAAGTGGTATCGGTTGAAAGGTGATAGTTAGATGCGGGATGCACAATCATAAGATAGATAGGGATTTGGAAGATCATGACATATTGGGTCGTCTAAAAGATTATGAAAAAAAGTTTGTGAATAAATGACGAAGTACAATATGGCTCCAAGGTACATAGTTTATAATTTGAAAGACAAAGATTCAAAAAACCTCACGAGTAGTACCCAAGTGTATAAAGCTAGGTCTACATACAGAATAGGAAAGAGAGGTACATTGACAGAAATGAAAAAAATGTTATTGAGTTTTATTCATAAAGAGAAATACATGTGTTGGACTAGATATATGGGCAACTCAGATATTGTAGATGATATCTTCTAGACATGTGTTAATTCTGTGAAGTTTTTTACTATGTTTCATCTGGTGTTAATTTTTGATTGCCCGTACAAGACAAATAGGTAAGACTTTCACATCCTAAAATATGTTGTAGATGTTTAGTGAATTGTTTGGATATGTGCATTTTGATCGTGTATGTAGTGGACACTACTGCTTGAGATTGTTGGTGTTACGTCAACGAAGTCCATTGGAAAAAAACTAAAAAAGGGACTAGAAAGGGTAAAATTTGTTGGTTCAAGCCAAGAGAGATGTGGTTGCGTCATTAGAACAAAACATAGGTTACCGTGTGTGTGTCAGCTTGCCGGTTTTCAAACTCTAGGCAACATTGTTCCTTTAGACTCAAATTCAATACTTTGGATATTGTAGGTCAGATGGTGTTGAAGAAAAAATTTGGAGACGGAATTGTAATAATGATGCAAAAGTATGGGAAACAGCATATGTGGGTCTCTTTAGACACTACGAACACCTGTGTAGAAAGTCATTGTAGTTTGTGTTTTATTCGTATATATATGACAGTTACTATATGTATATATTAAGTCGGTAGCATTTTTACCAACTCAATTTTTCAAGAAAAAGTAATGTAAAAAAGGAAAAAAATCGAACTGCAACAATACTAGAAATTTCAAATTTCTGGAATTTTTTAGAAGTTTCAAAAATTTCAAAAATTTCGATAAATTTTAACTATTCACTGGAAATTTAAAATTTTCGGTAACCTTCAATCAGCTATGGTAAAAAACTATAATTTGAATGAAATTTCCAGTGGATTTTGAAATTTTCGATATGTACCTGTAGTTTTCAAGATTTTTGGTATTTCAATAAGGGTATTAACGTAAAAGTGCCAAAAAATGGGGGTGGCAGGTATAATTATGGGGGTGACAAGTTAAATCCTCAATTTTTTTAATGCATTATATAGATAAGTAGGACACCGCGTGAAAATATAATTATGCCCTTATATTTCAAAAATACATCTTCAGACGCACCTAAATACAACACACTTCTAAATCAGGCCCTAAATCAATGTAAAGAATTAATCAGAGATACATCTATGTATACCTCCATGTACAATTATTCTGGAGATACATCTTCGTAAAGTCTACATAGATGCGTCTCCAGACACTTTTCGTTCCAATACACACTAGAAGCCCTTCACCTTCCTCACTTACTCAAACACTCTCAAAAAACTCATTTTATCAAAATCTTTCAAACCTCATTTTATCAAAATTTGTCAAACCACATTCAAGCAACATCAAACAACATCATTCAACTTCAAACATCCAACTTTAAGCAAGATCAAGCAACAAGAATCAACTTCAAGACACTAATTGTAAGCTTTTTATAAATAAAATTTAAGCTTTTGTATAAATGTGTAGAAGTTGATGTTTAGGCTATGAAATAAAAAGATTTTACTTGTTTGATAGCTCATACATGATTAGAAATGAGTTAGATATGTATTTTTTTACGATCAATGCATTGTTGTTGATGATTTTGGGGGCTGCATTCTGCCATGGAAGATGATTATAGTTGAAGGATATTATGGATGTGCATCTTTGGAATTTTCCAACGTTTGCCCCCAAATTGGAGATACATCTTCGTAGTCATTCTATCTGCAATGTTTTGCCTTTTTTTGTACAAAGATCATTGTGTGACACTTGTCTTGTCTATTTACAGGAATTATGTATAAAATACTATCTCGATTGAGACACGGAAGGCTTGCACAACATGCATTCGTTTTGAGGGGAAAAAGTCAGCAATCACAGGCTCATACTACCTCTGGCCTGGTTGATGTAGAGATATTAGGTTCTAGGGCTCGTGTATCTCTGCCTTTTTCTTTGTTTTCTCATAGAATACTAGGGTCCCCTCCTCAGGCATCCTCGCCTTCATCTTCCCTTAGACGACTCAATTCACCTATTTAAGCACCCGAGGCTACAAAGGTACATGAGTCAACCGAGGTACCTCATATTCTAGAGGTATCTGAGTCATACCATGCTCAGGAGAAAAATGTGGTACCCGAGGCATCATAGGCCCAAGGGAAAGCAAAGGTAACACCTGAGGCATCCCAGACCTAGGGGAAGCAGAGGCGACACTTGAGGTGTTCTAGGCCCAGTTGACTGAGGTACCTCGGGGTTTTAGAGGAGACCCCTCTGACTTATCATTGTTTCCTCTTTACCCAGACCATGTTGCCAGACATATCTAAGACAGAGAGGTAAATTTTACTTGGATTTATTCATTTGATGTTGTGATTGTTTGTTGGAATCATTCTTATTAAATTATGTATGCAGGAACATGATTCACTAAAATTCATCAACCATATCAAAAGATTACTCACTTTGTTCCTCCTAATGATCAGTGGTTTCAAGAAGTTTTGCAACAATCAGGGATGCGAGACTTGTGCAAGACTGGTTATATTACAATTATCCATGGTATGCTTAATGCGTTTGTAAAAAGATGGCACATGGAGACTTCATCATTTTATCTACCACGTGATGATATGTTTATTGCACTCGACAATATCTCGTGTATGCTGCATCTTCTGGTTAGGGGGAAACTTATAGGTTTGAAAGATTACCAAAGATGAGGAACTGAAGTTGATGGTAAATTATCTAGGAGTTGACCCAGAGGCTACCTTGGAGGAGCTTGATTTCACCCGCTGGGCTCATGCTAGGTTTAGATTTTTGAAGAAGGTGTTTATAGATGAGATACCGAGTAGGTACATCAGCATAGAGGGCATGTTATGAGAGCATACATGTTTTATTTGGACAATACTACCATTTTTGTGGATAAGAGAGTCACTTATGTGGATGTCATCTACTTGCGGTACTTGGAGGACTTTAAGTGTATCCATGAGTTCAACTTGGGGGGAACTTGTTTGTCTACTTGTACTCTAAGTTATTTAAAGGTTGTACGTAGAAGATAAAGTATGTGACGGGCAATATCCCACTTTTTATGGTAACATTTCTTGGTCTTTTAGTGATTGTGTGTAATTTTCATTAAATTTTTGCAACGCCGTTACTAACTAATGATTCAGGTGTTCCAACACTTTTCTAATTTGAATTCTTCAGCACTTCCCACACATCTCTATTTGGTTATTTCTACCAACTTATACTGAGGATATGTCGCATGCTTCTGCATTCTCCCCACTTAAAGGGAACCAGACGAAAAAACCCATTCAAAGTGTATATTGACTGCTTGATAGTAGAGGATATACACTTCCATTATCATGTCGATTACCACGAGATGATTCCCTTTGATGACATAGTCTTATACTCGAGATGGTTGGCTTGCGGGTTACATTTGATGGCTCCTTATCTTTCTTAGTGTGTCATGCGTGAGTTCAACTATATGCAGTACATTCTCAGATATCCTTATGTGTGTTGCTCCTCCCATTGTGAAACGCGGATATATGGATGCTATGTTTGATGCTTATGTTAATAATCTGGTACACAAATATATGCAGTTACATCTGATGGTTCATACAAGTGTCATAACCTTATATGGTACATGATGCTCCAGGAGATCCACCTAGGCCAGCTCATCAGGAGATACTAGAGGAGGAGTTGGCTATGGCATATCATGTTGTTGATGTGTTGCCTGGGTGTCATCGAATCATGCAGATTAGGGAGACATGTAATGATGAAGGACTCTTTCCGGATGGCTCTGAGGTGAGGAGAATTGTAGATGCCATGATAGCGGAGGCTCGGGAGGCTTTGTAGTACAGGAGACAATGTAGAACATAAGGGCACGAGGCAGAGGCTGACTTCGAGTCTGTCATATGTAGTAGATTGTAGTATTTACACTCTTGACACATTTTGGGTTGTATTTTATTTTTCGACTCCATTGTAACTTTTGAATTGGATTTATGTACTCTTAACTTATAACTTTATATATATGTCATTTTCTTCATAAGTTGTAGGGGATGTTTCAAGCTTTCCAAAACATGCAAGAGCATGAATTTATCATACTTGAGCTAGGAGATTCAATGGCATGAAGTTGGGCATCCATCCTTGAAGTACAAGTCTTTTTGTTGAAGAACACATGATCCAATCTACATGCTATGCTGCATAATCTTATGTTGCATGCCTTCTTGCTTGCAAATCTATCCATAATCAGATGTTTACAGAATTGGTTGAACCATTATCCAAGTGATTCAACTATTGTCCATTGCATTATTCCCTTTATGGCACAAAGGCACCATTGCCATTCACATAAAGCATGATTTATACAAAGTCAGGTCTTCTTGAGCCTCACAATTTTTTTCTCTGCACACACAATGTCAAAGCGAGAAGAAACATTCCTAAAAACTCCTAGCCATTTCATATCTCTTTTGTACCATGCATTGGAGCATCAAAATTCACATAACTTGGTTGTTTCATCTCAACCAAACCAGAATTCCATAGCTTGTAAAACAAACTCTCTCATCCTCTCAAACCTTCTCTGTAAATAGAGAGTCCATTTGCAAGCTAAGGGCCAAAAGTTCTTTTGTGTAGACAAATTCTCAAAATCCCTTCACTCACAAAAAACTAGAAGTGTTCATAAAACCTCCATCTTTGAGCTTTGAAATCCAAATCTTTGAATCTCATACCTTACAAGTTTTCCTCAAACAAACCATCCAAATACTTCATATACATCATACAGAAGTTGCTCAAACACAAGAACAACTTCTGTAACATTATTATCACCACCTTCCAACCTCAAAAACATTGTCTTGCAATTTGACTTGGTTGGAGAGACCCAAACACTTTCAGCATAAAGTAAGGATTAAAACAACTTTAGAGAGGTCTAGGGAAGCTCAATTAATCATCATATTGCACCTGGAAACATCCACACACATTTTGGATTTTCACTTCAAGAGGTATGTTTTGTAAAACTGTGATATCCGCGTTCATACATTATTTTACTTTTGTTTTCAAAAGAATAAAACATGACAAATCAGAGTAGAAGAGTTGCAAACACTCAAAACTACAGAAAATACTTCTGGAAACCTAACACGGCCGGCCGTGTCACCTGACACGGGCCATGTGAGGGAGAAAACTTGACAAAATGACATGACGGGTCTTGACACGGGTTCCCGTGCCACAGGACACGACTCATGTCCATCTTACAGGGATTAAAAATAGGACAAAATGGCAAGGCAGGGTTCTGAAATGGGTGCCTGTGTTACAGGACACGACCCATGTCCCTCTTACTGGGATTAAAAACTTGGCAAAGTGGTAGGACAGGGTTCTGACACGGGTTCCCGTGTCATGAGACACGGCCCATGTCAGCTCATTTGGGATAAAAAAAGGCATGCATGGATTATTACAGGGTTCTGAAACGGGTGCCCGTGTAACAAGACACGACCCGTATCAGCCTAAACACCAAAAAATTTGATTTTGAGACTTTTTATTCAATTTGGTTGTAATAATAATTAGGTTTTAATTGCTTTTATCCCCATTTATAACTTGTATCCTCATCCCCTAAACGATGTAATAGCGTAGGACTTTAAATTTCCTTAATTTATCGCTTTCGAATATAAATGCTAATAATTAGGGTGTGTATGGCAAGATAAAATCAATCTTATAGAACCCTAATCTCAAGACAAGAATGCATGCAATCAAAACACAATTCACACATACACCTCTAAGGTAATCCATACTTGTTGCCTACGAATTAATAGTCATGTCCCTCGAACGTGGGATACTTTAGCAATGACCCTCGATGACCCTTCAATGTTGCCTTCGATAAATGATCTTATACCCTTAAGATAAATTTCTAAGGTATCCTACAATGTTGCCTTCTATGACTGTACAAGACCCGCGCCCATCCCTTAACATCCAATGATAGGGATTCTTACCCAACAATGGTAAACAAGCAATATCTAAAGGAGGAGGAGAAGAACTAAGAATTTTTAAGTGGGTAAAACGTTCATAGTTGCTTGCTCACAACCATCTTCAAAACATATTTCAAAACACACCAACACTTTCAAATGAAATATCTTCAAAAGTCAACACTTTGTATGCATTCTTATAGAGACGAGAATCATTACAAAGTTCGCCTAAACAAAGGCACTTTTTTAAATTACTTTTGTTCTAGACTGGGCCCACCTTGGCCCAAAGTGCAAATAAAGGCCCAGATCCAAGCAGCTCCTCGGGGAATGCTCACAATAGGACCATCACCGAATGTGCCCGACCAAGGACTACAACTGCAATGCCCGTCGTTGCCCTTGACGAGCAGCATCCCCTACCAAGGGAACTCCAGCTTGAGTCCAGCTCGAGCACCCTCCCTGTAGGGCAGATTCTGTCCACTCTAACTGTTATAGAGTCCTCAAAGCTCCGGAAAGACCGCGTCATCGTTCCTCCTCATTCTTCGCAGAGCATCATCTAGGAAGGGGACCACGTACGGGTCCCCACTACACACGTAGAATTGGGCAGTTCCTTTATTGGGCCAGTTCTGGTCGGCCCGATAAAGGGACCTCGGCCCAGCGCTAGGGGCTACAAATACCCTCTGTTACAAGAGGGTCAGGTATTCATTTATCACACGCCTATACATTTTTTGCCTGCCCATTCGTCTCTCACTTTGGCATCGGAGTGTCTTGCAGGTACTCCCCCCCCCCCCCCATCTCTCTCAAATCCAGTTCGAGCCAGCTGTGACGGTCCAAGTCTGATCCGGTAAGATCAGTGGCACCGTCTATGGGAAGCTAAGCTCCCCCGTCTTACAAGCTTTCAAAGACCAAAGCTAAAAATCATCTTCCACCGTCATGGCTGACCAAACTCGGGAAGACCAGAACATTTGCGTCGTTGATGCCAACAACAACCTCGCGGACAAGAACAGAATCCCCGACAATGCCGGCAACCCCGGCCATAATACACTCCCCGGGGGCGTCATCCCCGGGCCCTCAGGCCACCGCGATGGGGCCACGGCCTCATCTTCTTCAGTCCCCCCTCTGCTCGAAGAAGACATTACAGCTCCCCCAAACCATATGGTCTCCCAATTCCAGGAGGTCCCTGTCCCTGCCGGGGCAGACACTATGATCAGAGCACTGTTCGCGGAAATCAACCAGACCAATTACCTCATCTTTA